TCGGCTGCGGGCGCAGCTGCGGGCCATGGGGCAGCGCGAGGAGTGAGCCAGCCAGGCAGCCAGCCAGGCAGCCAGCGAAGCGGCCCCGCCCCGCCCATTGCGCGGCCCGCCGGCGTGCCGGCCCAGCCGGCGGCAGGGCCCTTTCTCCACCCCGCCGCGGGGCGGCGCCACGGGCTGCCCAGCCTGCGCAGCAGCCGGCTGGCCGGGGCGTGACGCGCCCGATGGTGGCGTGTCGCCACAGCCGTAGCGCACAAGCAGCCGCAGGATTGTTTCTCGTTTATGTTCACCACACCATTGTTTCATGTTTCACCTCCCCCCAATGCACTCTGTTTTTCCGCGCCGGCTGCCGCTCTTTCCCCGCCCGGCAGCCGCGCGCTCCGCCAAGCTTCTCCCTCCCCATGCGATCGAGCCGCCTGCTGTCTTCCCTCCCTGTTGCGTGCGCCGGCGCGAGTGTGGCAATGTGTATACAGTTGGTTGCGCACAGTCTGGGGCACAGTTTGGGACGAGGCGGGTACACTGGCATGCATGGCACGACCAAAATTTGAGGTGGGGGTTGCGCAAAATAAGCGCTGGGGCTTGGCGGGGCTAGTGGCGCCGCCAATAGGGAGGGCTGCTGTGGCGGGCGCGCACGCCGCCCGCCGCAGTAGCGAGGCGGGGCGGAAGGGAACGGGGCAAGCTCGTGCATTCAGTGCGGTGGGGCGCGGCAGCGGCCGGCAAGGGTAGGAAAAACGAAAGGGGGGGCTGGCAGGCAACAAAAGGGAATAGGTTGAGAGCGGGAGAAGAGGGAGGACACAGCAAGCACGCGGGCGGGCGCGGGCGGCAAGGGGATGAGGCGGGACACGAGGACAGGGGAGAGAGAGGTGGGGGTGCGGAGGCTGGGCGCTCACACATCGGCGGTTCTTCTCAATGGGGGGTTGCATTTCAGGCGGGGGCAGGCGCTGGCTGTGCCGCAGGGCAGCCGCCCGGGGGTCTGACCAGGGCCGTCGTGCGCCGGCGCATGCCGTCAGGGCGCGCTCGCCGGCCCTCCTTTCTTCGCGAAGGGCCCCCGGCGCGCCGCCGGACAAACGGGCACATGCGGGGCAGGACATCAGGACATCAGGACAAGCCGGACCGCGGGCGGCGGGGTCACCGCTGTCCCGCCTTGGCAGCCACCTTCTGCGCCTGGGCGGGGCTGAGGTCGTCCTCGCCCGTCAGCCCAAACATGCGCTCCAGGGCCTCCATGGTGGCCAGCGTCTCTGCAGGCGGGGCGGGGAGGGCAGGGTGGTGCGCGACGAGGTTAGGGGGCATGCCAGGCGGGAGGAGAGGGGGCGAGGGGGCATGCACGCAGGCGCGCAGAGGTAGGCACACAAGCTTCACTGTTGCCGCGCGGCGCGGCGCGGCGCGGTGCAGCAGCTCACCCGCGACTGCCATCGGGTCTGCTCCATCGCAGCGCAGCGCGGTCATGGGGCCGTGCAGCAGCTTGTTCACAATCCCCTTGGACAGCTCCTCAATCACCTGCGGGGGGAGGAAAGGCATGGGGAGGGGAGGAGGG